TCCACTGCTTCCAAACTCGCATCACTGTGGAACTGTTCCGCTGCATACGAGCTGCTATTGCGCGATAGGAAAATCCTCCTTCTCGAAGGCCGATTATCCTCCCTCGTTCAAACTCCGTAAGTTGCTTGAATTTCTTATTCTTCCGTCGTGGAGGCATACTCAGGTCTCACTAAACGTTTGCCACTAACAAATAATCATAGACTATTTTCAACGTCCCGCTACAGCACTTTATTTATACGCTTTCAGCATCAATTCAGAGGGCGCTGCGCGCGCCACGCACGCGCGATGGCTCTGAAACTTTATTAATTTGCATAATATCCTATATCCATTATTAAAATAATATTTCATTTGATTCTGATGATTCCTTCATGGTGTTGCATTTTCTACAAACAGCAGTTTATTATAAAGTGATAGTTTATCAATTGTGATTCTCGATTTAATAAATTTAATTTAGCAGATTTTTATCCACCACTATTTCTAAATAATTCGTAGGCTTATATAATTCACCACTTTATAGTACTAATGTAATGTTACACCTTTTTAAAAGCAAGCAAAGATAGTCAAATCTGTGCAAAATTTAATTTTTAGTTATTTACCGTTTTTTTAATTTTTTGACTTGTCCGGAGCAGTTGGCATCTCTGTATATATTTGGTAATCGAGAATTCGGTTTTTGACAAAATGCCATGCTTTTTGATAACAAGAAAGATTTTTTTTTTTTAAAAAAAGAAAGAAAATAATTGTAGCTAAAACAAAATTTTTCAGGGCAAGTATGAAAACAAATTCCTCGGGGCCTTAAAAAGGATGAAAATTTTCGTTTCTAAGATACCACTTTAACATATAAAATTATGGTACGAAACTATTTTTCTACCAATATAATTTTTGCGAATTAACGTACAATGGTAGTAACAAATGTATTTAAGTGTCGAGTTTTGTTGCATTTCTAGCATCTTTGGAAGCCCTGAACAGGGATGAGACGTATGTCCAAAAATGCAAAAAGTGGTAGTATTTGATTAATTATCCTTTCATAATTATCGTCACGCGTTACCTTATGAATGGCTTATATTTGAAACAAAAATTCTCCTCTATTTAACTTTTGATAATAAACTAAGAGAAATATCCAAGAAAATGTTGCTAATTTATAACAGATTTTTGCGTGTGTACATTTTATTGGCCAACACTTTTTACATTTTTATTGATAATAAAGGTTGGCATTTCATTATTTATCAGAAGGAGGGGGTGGGAATGATTAATTTGGAATTATACTGGATTATTGCAACTATTGTGGTTACTAATGACACTTAATGCCTACAACTGATTGTAGGAATAAAGTGTTTTGTTTTTAACAGAACCGACACTGCGTGCTGTTTTCTAGATTAAAAAAAATATATTATTAACAAAAGCATTTCAGTTTTTAGCTTTCCTTTCTCTTTTTTTTTTCTGAGTGGGAGGAATAGTAAACTATTTGTTACTATATATTATAAACATTACTCCCCAAATCATTTGAAAATTTGAGTTATATATGGGGGTAACCTGCGCCAAAAAATGCGAAATATTAATACCATTTCGTGATAAAAAAAATTGTGAAAGAAGAATTTTTTTATAAAAAAAAAATTTATTTCTAAATGTCAAGAACACGCGGATTTAGAAGCAGGCGGAATCGTTCTAAATTTTCTCTGATTGTTAAAAATATGGTGTTATATTTTTTTTAAAAAAAATTTAAGTTATTCTATTACCAGTCTTTACGTTTATGGGTTTAAGTTTATGGATTAAGTAACTTAAGTTGCGGTAATTTCACTCGACAAATACTGTGGAAACTGGCATTTTCAATTGAAAAATGTAATATATTTTTCAACAAAAAAAAATTTTTTAAAAAAACGGTAAATAACTACAAAGTAAATTTGGCAAATGTTTGACTATTTTTCTTTGCTTTTTAAAAGGTACAGCATGACATAATTACTATAAAGTGGTGAATTATATAAGCCCATGAATTATTTGGAAATAGTGGTGGATAAAAATCTACTAAATTGAATTTATCAAATCAAGAATCACAATTGATAAACTACCACTTTAAAATATATATTTCCTCTCCGGTGCAAGTTGGTATCTCTGGCTTAGTAAACTCAGAATTGGGTCATCCTTTCAACGTCGGTCGTAAAATAAAATAAAATTACATGCTTACATTTGTAAGCATTCTAGTAATTGCATTTGCTATTGAACGGAAGTTGTAGCTGGGCAATTGAAATCGCAAAGCTGCCCTTTCCCATCTATCATTGATATTTTATGCCAGGAAATAAAGATATTTCAGACATTTTAGCTACTTAATGCATACCCTCCAACTTATGAAGATTTTGAAAATAATTCTTTCTAGTGGTAGCGAACCAAAGTAGAAATTTTTAAAGCAAATGGATATCTCATAAAACTTTTTTCAGAACTTAAGAATCTAGCCATATGGCCTGCACTTTGATAAGTAATAGTGGACAAGTTACGCCAAAATTATTTTTTTTTTTTTAAATTTTAAGACATTAATTTTGCTACCGTCTGAAAAGAAGATTTCTGAAACTACGGGAATTCCGTAGCAGTTGGAGGGTATGTTAATGTGTATGTTAACTGCTAATAAATAGTAGTCACAAATAGTTTACTTCTCTCTAAATATATGTGGAAATGAAATGATGTCATTCCTACTAGCATTTTATGTTTTCCGAAAATTGACAGCATGACTGCCCTTTACTCACCTTCGATTCTGATACCAAGTTTTGACTTGTGTTTCTGTTAAACTAAGAGCTTCCGCTACGCTTCCTCTATCAGCAACTGACAAATATTTTTGACAGCGAAACTTCCTTTCTAGAAAAGCTAACTGTGCTTGCGTGAAGGCTGTCCGTCGCCGCCTCGGCTTTTTCGCTTTGCCGCCTCCTGATTCTTTGTGCTGCGGCTGTGAAGACGGTCTACCCCCGTCGCTGTAGCCTGACGCCGGACTGCGTTCGCCGTAATAACTGGGGTGTGCCTGAGGGGGTGTGACTAACGCAGAACGGGGGTCGTCCTTCGAATCGTAGCCTGGAAGAAAAAAGTGGCAATGATTAAGGATACAGGAAAAGACAATAATAAGAAAAGAGTAAATATTGGAAAAGCAAGAGTGAAAATGAGATATGTCAGCAACTTTAGAAATATATTTATTGATTTTTAGAACAATGTATTAAATTAAGTTAGCTATTTAAAAACTGTATTGAAAGATTTCACTTAATAACTTTATTTTATTTTTAATAAAATGAAGATCACAGCGATTTTGAAATAATTGTTTTTATAGTTTTTTTTCCCAATTTAAACGTTCATACCTTTGACGCAGTTGGAACACCGGAACAGTTGGAACATTTTTTCTGACATTCTAATTACAAGCAAAAATACATTTTGATATTTTCTTTTATTATGAAAAGAAGTCTAACAGTTTGTAAAATAATCTGTTAGATTATAGGGATCATATATGCACTAAAAATAAAATTCAAAAAAAGTAGCTTGAATTTTCTTTTCCTCTTATATTCAAAAATTTATCATTAATTGATTTTAAAAATTAAAGAAACTTCGAAGACGAATAACTGTTTTTCTTAGATCTAAATAAGTTCTAATTAGAAAAATTATTGCATATAAGTCTGTCGTGTTTGAAAGATTTCATCTTTAACGCAGAAAAAAAAAAGACAATGGTGTTTCATGCTGTATTTCATAACCATAGATTATTATAATGCTAAACATATTATTTTTCACTCATTTTGACCTAAATTAATACAAAATAATGAAAAATATGTTTAATAAAAATTCTGCTTCAAAGGGTTAAGGAGAACAATATAAAAAATATAATCAAATAACGACCAAAAGAGTATTTTAATTTTTTTAACTGTTCGCAGTTTGTAATCATGTTTTTATTGTTATTATCATAATTACTATTATGGAATTGTTCAGATATGTCCGACTCATCTAATTACATGGAGATATTTCTTTTCGCGATAAAAAAGAGATGTAGAATATGTGCTATGCCTACGAAAGGCACCAGATAAACTTAAAATATTAAGAAATAAATGAATAATTAAATAAAAGATATTTTTAAATAGCAATAAAAAAGTTACATTTGATGGAAAAATTTACATTTTGTACGCAAAAAATATTAAGTAAACATGGTCGTGGATAGTTCATTTTTGCTGACTTGTAAAGGAGTTTGAAAATTATCGACTATAAACTTACGTAATATTAGAGCCTGTCATTTTTTGGAGAAAACTTTGCATGCCTTCATCGGGAAAAAATATGTTTTAAGAATATCTTAATTTAAGAATATTATATTATACAGGAATATTGAGTTCTGTTACTTTATACTGGACTTGTAGTATATTATACTTGATATTTCATTCTTCCAAAAAACAAGATGGTTATAATAAACTGGTTATAAACTAATTTTATCTCCTTTTCTGAAATACAAACAACAAAAAGCTCAGGCTGTAGTTTATATTTCTATCTGCTACCTACCACTTTACCAAAAGAAAAAAAAACAGTACTTAGAATACACATCTAAATATAAATATAATAACAATTTTTGAATTACTGATATAATATGGTTGACAGCAGATCAATCTTGTTTGTGCAATCTAAACCATAATGATAAAACGCTTGTGATAAAAAAAAAAATTTTAAAAAAAAAGGAGAGGAATTGCCATTTTAAAAGGTCGCAAATTAATAAGCTCCCACGAGCGCTAAAAAAAATTATAAATTGAGTAGAATAGGTTAAGACCATCTACCTTGAATTACACTTTACTAGTCAAGAAAAAGAAAGGACCTATCACATTGTGGTTGATTAATTCACAGTGGCTATGTTGTAGATATGTTTATTGTGTACTCTAATGTTCTTTTGTTCTTAAGATATTCTTCTTTATTAGTCATTAGAGTCTTAAAAATTATTTTTAGACCAACTCATTATTTGTTTATTGAAGAATCGTACCCTAACAAACAATAAGGCTTTTCTCCAATAGAAACACAGTTCTGTATCGTTTTGATATCTTCTGCTCTCTGGGAAAGATCCGGTAGCGCCATGATGTGTGTCTTTGCTGGGCCCACGAAAACTGCAGTGCAGAGGAGGAAAAAGACATCTGCATTTAAGGCTGAACAATGGCTTTACGGTTTCAGGAACAAAATTTTTTGTAGCCCCTTCTTTGAAGCACAAAAAGCCTCATTTTCATATTTTGTAAAATTATTGAAGACCCAGTTTTTATACAAAATTGTAGTTTTTATAAAGATATAAAGAAATTATCTGCATATTTCTTTTTAAAAAAATAGAATTAATAAGTACTATATCTCTTTGAAGGAATTTCGGTGGGGCCGTCAGTGATTCCGGACTCTGGAACAATTGTCCCTCTCTTCCCTCCTTGAGTATAGCTTTGGTTAAATCGCATGTAAATTACATGCACAATTTTCTTGAATTGCCATATAAAATATAAATAACTGCTAGTTTTTCATTGAAATTCTAGTCTTTATAAATTTGCCATAAAGTTTACATGTGCGAGTGGTTTTTCCCCTCTAATAGGAATCTGATTTTGTCTGGGGAAAAAAAGCAGTGATAAAAAAAAAGCAGTACATCAATAACTTTTCAGGAATGATATATTGTATGCAACTAAACAATTAATGTCTTCACAAAATATGACAGTTTCCATCCAAATTCTACACCTATACAGTTTAGCTCCAATGGGTCTTTGACTCTTAGTTGCCCGGTATTACCCCCACTTTCCTCTATAAAGCATTTCCACTACAGCTCCAGAGAGATCTTTGGAGTGGCCAGCGGCATGATGGTGACATTGTCTATTTATGCAGTAGCCACCTTTGCTTCGCAGACAAGCTGTAATTCGTCGATCTGAAGCTGTGTGGATTATGAGGGAATCCTAGTACTTTACAACAGCAGGTAAATACCTTGCTACTGAGCCACCACAGCTCTAGTGCGATACGATACAAACCTTTTATTTAAACGTTTTGCTTTGTTTTAGGCTGTCAAAAGATATAGTTCTCAAAAAAATTAAAGCGCACACATTTTTACGGTACTGTTCGGTACTTTTATTTACGCTACACTAAAGCTACACAATGTGCTATTGGCGACGGTCCGGGAAACATCCTTGAAGTTTATTCGAAGACAACATACATGCGTCTCATCTCGTTTTCACATAATCTCGTTTTCTCGTTGACAAGTGTTTTATGTGTCAGGTGAAAATTTTAATGATTTTTATTTCACTGGTCAATTAAGCTAGTCCATTTGCATAATTTACATTTACAAACTAGTATGCTCAATTAAGGCTAATAAGACTTTGTTGCGTAAAAGGGCGAATAGCACAATTCACGGAAAGACAGCAGGAATCTGCATCCATAGTTACGGAGGGATTTGAACCCGCTACCTTAATGTTGCAGAGATTTTTGCGGGTGCAGGTAGACCTTTTTAGCTAGTTAATTTTAACATCATATATTTTCTTTAATTTACGAATGTATTTTAATGCATTTGAATAATTAGAAACAATTTGTTCCTTCAAATTTTTTTCTACTTTTTAAATTTTTCCCTGTTGATGCAACCTTTCCATGTTATTTAAAAATAGTAGTAAAACACATATTTAAAAACTTGTTTTCATCAACTACGCTTTTAGAAGGCATTAGACTTTTTTTATTCATAAATATTTTCGCTGTATCCTATTAAAGAAATAAGGGTTAATTTATGCTTAAGTCAAACAAAAATCAAATTTTCACCGACCAATTTATTTTAAAATTGTAACCATTCGCAGCATTAAATTTAATCTAGTTATAACTATATCAATTAAATTATTACTGTAATTTGACTGATGAAATATATTGGTTCTTTCTTAAACTAAACGAATTACCTTCTAATTTACTTAAAAATTTATTTCTTAATATGAGTCTGTGACTACTGTGGCAGTTACTAAGGCATTAATCATTTCCGGAATAGGTATAGGAAAAATTTATCCTTTTCATGGCACCACCTTTAACCCTTTATAATGCTTATAACTCCTATTACAATTTTATTATAATTCCCACGGGTAGAAAAACATACTTTTTATACTAAAAACTCCCACACCCCTTAAAACATCTGATTATTGTGCGACAATTGGCGCACTTAAGAAACAAAACTTCACAAGAGCACTTGGCATATTGTGTGGAGGCAATTACGTAACTACAAACCGTTTGTCGGGGTCATTCTGCGCCCCTTACTCACAAAGGGGCTTCATTGTATACTTACATATCAAAGCCCCATACTCCTCTTCCTCAGTAATCTGAAAAAATCGTGTAGTAGTCAAAAATCACTTCAATTAGGCTCGTGTGGCTGTGACGCTTGGGTAGGTTGCTGTGTTTAGAGGGAGGCAAGTGGCCTGATAGGGGCAGCTGAGGGGCAACGGTTGGGTGACCCTTAAAAGAAGTAGAGGGCCCTCAAACGTATAACAGAAGTCGAAGTTATTGTAATCCAAGGGGGATTATGAAGAGATGAGGGGTGGAAAGTAAACTTCCCTGCTCCCCTACTTCGTGGAATGTTTTTTTATTATTTTTTTTTCTTCCAATTTCAATTCAAGATTCGGGAAAGTTTTTTTTTTTGAATGTTACTTTGATCTGTTTCGACAAAAGTAGAGATTAGTTGATTTATGTGAGTACTTGTGCCGATGATTGTAAAAACTTTCCCTTTTTATGATGAATAGGGATTTTTGAAAATAAGGAAAAATACGTGGAAAGGAAAATTAGCATTAAAGTTTTTTCGTAAGAAAAAAAAATTAATAAAACGATGAGTTTGGAAACTTCGAATTGATTTTGGTTTCAGTGATTTTTAAGAATCTGCAATCCAATGTCTCATCTGATTGGACATTAAAAGCAATCAAACTGACATTTTAAATTTTAACGTCTAACTGTATCGCTGTGGCTTAGACAATTGAAGAGAATAGTTGATATATGTGGGTACTTGCCGATGAATATCAAAACTTTCCCATTTTGTGATGAATAGGGATTTTTAAAAGTAAAAAAAAAAGTAGTTAAAGAGGTTGTAAAAGTTAGGTAAAAAATATTGACATTTAAAATACTAAAAATTATGAAGGAAAACTGAAAATTGCTGTAAGAATATTTTCATAAAAATTAAAATGAACTTTTACAACTGTCTACAGCATATTTTGCCCAGAGAAATTTCAAAAATTGTAAATAAATCCATAACTTTCTGAAAATTAAGGTAAATAAATGCTGTCTTTAGAAACTTTCTCTTAAGCCGGGTGTATTACAAATGAACTTGCCAGTTTCCCTTTTTAGTTTACATGTATTTTGGGATAAATTAGGTTTGTAAAACCAAAATTCAAGAGAAACATTATTACAGAAACGGAAAGCTTAAAAACTTAAGACATTTAAGAATTAAATAGTCCTAGCGAAATTAAGTTGAACATAAGTATTTTATTCATTAATCTAATTAAATAATTTCTAATGAGAAATATCTTTTTCAGGCTACTATTTTTTTTTTTTATTTGAATTTAAAAATTCGAATTTTTAACCCAATCAGCAGCAAATTTTTCATTTTGGTTTTGAAAAATCGGAAAAAAAATTAAAGAATCAGCTTCTCTAATATGCGCTTTCTATTCTGTAACTTAACAAGAGTTTATAAGCCGTACATTATATTGAGCACGCCAGCCTGCACATCTAAGTGAACAATTTTTTGAATGCAATTAAACAAACTAAATCGATTTCTAAAGTAAGAAAATATTCACCCAAATTAACTTCGTAAACTAACTAAAACTAAGCAAATTAATAATATTTTTAAAAGTCTTATAATGACCTATGTTCGAATTCTAACGACATAACATAAAAGCAGTATATATTGTAACAAAAAAGTAAAAGCCAATCATTAAAGAATGATTGTAGATGAAGCAAATGATTAATTTTAAAAATGTTATTTAATGACCTTTAAAAATTCTATTGATAAGAAAATTACAACGTAGTATTTTCTTCATTTATAAATCATCTGATGGATGAACACGCAAAGACAAAAACGAAATATCTATATATATATAATTAATTTATTTCAATTTCGATTATGGCTTAATTGACTATTTAAATAATACGTAATATCTTATTGAATTACAACATAAATCTGACAAGAACAACAAAAATCTAGTATTTCAACATTTATAACTGATAACAAAAAATCGAACTGGCCATTTCTTTAGTTATGAATATATTTTTAATAATTATTCCATTTTGAAATCAACATGCGTAGCGCATAGATTCCAACAGTCCCAGATTAGTCAAAAAATAATAATATTTTAAAAAGCAGAAGAGAACTGCAAACTAAAATTTGCTGATTTTAGGCTAATTTTGTCTACTTTTTATAAGACTCAACACGACTTAATTACAAGGATGCCAACTGCTCCACTTTCAGCAAAAGTTTTTATGAATTGGTTGCAAATTACATAGTAAAACCTTACATAGTAAGAATTACGCTTCTTCCTTAAAAAAGTCAACACGAGACAACTGCAATAAAGTTGTGTGTCATTTGATACTTTGAATTTTTTATATATAGTGGTGGAAAAAATATTTAAACTGAACCACTCATTACCACTAAAAAATAAGCTACTTTCACTACTACTTTCGTATTTTCATTAAATAATTATATATTCGTATATTCGTTCGTTTAAAATATTTTCGTTACCCACCATCACGCCTGCTATACCTCACCATGATGCCTTTCTTCATTTTATCTCATTTCAGGTTCGATTCCGAGCCTACATCACATCTCTCCTACGTATGTTCCCGTCATGGGATATTTCAAGATGAATGGGNAGAGATTAGTTGATTTATGGGAGTACTTGTGCTGATGATTGTAAAAACTTTCCCTTTTTATGATGAATAGGGATTTCTGAAAATAAGGAAAAGTACGTAGAAAGGAAAATTAGCATTAAAGTTTTTTCGTAAGAAAAAAATTAATAAAACGATGAGTTTGGAAACTTCGAATTGATTTTGGTTTTAGTGGTTTTTAAGAATTTGTAGTCCGATGTCTCCTCTGACAGGACATTAAA